TTGTTTTAATCTAGATTACAAAACCTACAGGCATGCAGCAAAATGAGCATGTCCAGGAATCAAGAACACACCTGCAAAAACTGAAAACATTTCCTATCAATAAGAATGTGAATGTGGGACACTAGTGTACAGAGCGACATTTGCATGGACATTTGCATGTTAACATGTGTTAACATGCACAGGGATGCATGCCCTTCATTGGAATATACACAAACAACCCGTCTCTCACACACACACACACACACACACACACACACACACACACACACAAGCAGTTTCACTTAGTGCACAATGCTATACGGACTGCTAACATCTCTCTGTACTGCAGAGGATACATGCCTTCCCTAGTGAGCTCTCTTTCACACAGCCAGACAGACATGGACCTTTCCTGTCAGAGCTAAGAGAAATTATCTGTCAGCACAAGATGCACAGTGGGTACCTTCTCTCTAGGTGCCGCAGTAATAGAGGGTAAGGTAACAGGCACGTATGCACTGTCCCTGAACACACATTTGGATACATGCTGCCACAACTTCACACACATTCACCTCTAATGAGATTAAAATTTGGGGCCCCAATGTCTCTGGCATGGTATCTGAGGTGAATTCTCCAGCAGTGGTCAAGAGCAAAATACCCAGTATTGCAAGAGTGTGCCAAGCAGTTGAAGAGAGACAGCAGTGGGTGCCATTTTCTATGCAGGTCACCTGCAATTTCTCAGTTTTTTCTAGCTGGCTGCCACCAGGCTGAACTGGTTCCACTTCCTACAAGGCTATTCTGCCTGGACTCATTCACTCTTCTCCCACGTACCTTTCTGTGTGCACAAATCCACCTCAACAGTGGGGTTCCCACGGGAATCCAAAATCTCCCTGGCATGGATCTTTTCGATGGACATGATGAATCCGGTCTTCTCTAAAAAAGAGTGGAAAGTGGCACTGGTGGAAAGAAAAGGAAGCCAAAGGATTCAAGCTGTGGTCTGCTCCGTGCCAAAGGCCTCCTAGTCTGCCAGAGACACTGAGCTTTGTTTTTAGTTTCCCATTCCCAGAGAGAGAAAGAGGGGGAAACATGGAGAAGAGCCACAGAAACACTGCTCAAGTTGGAATTAGGTTCTCAGGAGAGATAAGCTATCTGGCTCAAGGAGAGACACAAGAACTGCTGGCAAAGACCCAAGAGGTGCAAATCCTCTGGGATTAAGGCAGCACTGTTCAACCCTTCCACCCCAAAGGACACCTAGGGTTTTGACCTGGTCTGCTCCCTTCACTTGCAGAAAGCTCAGAGAGCTCTCCCACCTAAGTGGGGAGCTAGTTCCTGCTCTTCCCCCTACAGAGCACCTGGTCTTCAGTGAGAGAAGAGGGTGGCTGGAGCTGTGGGGCTAGGGCAGAGAACCAAGGCACTAGCTGGTGACTGGCTCTCAGCTTCTTTTCCCTCTCTGGGGCTGCCCCAAGGTTGTTGGAAGAAGGGGACCCATCCATCACTATCCCACAGCCTAGCAGGGAAGCTGGCATGAGAGCAGTCAGAGCTATTGTCCTCCCTTTACTGCAAGGCAGCCAGCAGACAGCGGGTGAAGGAACATCAGCTGTTCAGAGCAAAGCTGCTGCTGGGGCTGCAGGGGAAGCTGTGGGAGACAGTGCACCCTCCCTCCTCTCAGTCACAAGGCTGAGTCAAACAGTCTGTAATATCATGGTGTGGCTCAGGGAGCTCACATCCGCTATGACTCAGTTTACATTTTTGTCTTACAGTCTCCCTCAAGAGCCACAGTCCAATGGATGCCTCAAGGTCCACAGGTTTGACACCACTGATTCAGGAGGCCTGAGGGGACATGACAAGGCTGTACCAAGGTGTTAAGGAGTCATTCCCTAGTGCCACGGGGTCTAGGAACCCAAGAAGCCATCCCTCAAGGGAATCCCCCCCACTCACAATGCCAGGAGCAAAGAGCCTTGAAGCCTGCAGCTCAGTTCAACATTCAGATCTTTAATTCTAAAAATGAAACACACAGGTGTGTGCAGGGGGCTGGAAGATGAGAGGACTGTAGCTTCTTGCTCTGATGGGCTGGAAGGGAAAGATTCGAAGACTTTGCCACAGGAAGTCAGGTCTGGGTGCAGGGGGGATATGGGAGGGCAGAGCAGCTGTGAAAGATTCTCCTGTTGGAGCCAACACTTTGGGTGTCCACTGCAGTCTTGCCCTCCCCCATCCCAGAACTGAGGCCCACTTGTCTCCTCTGACCAACACCCTTCTCTTGGTTACCAGGCATGTTGTCTAACGATAAGCCAGAGAATGGTACTCCTGGGAAGCAACCAGGTGGGGGGGGGTGCAATTTAAAGCAAAATCTGCTGTCTCCCCATCCCCCTCCACACTCTCTAGAGGAATAACCAGCTCTGAATGTTGATCCTAAACCAAACCCCAAGCTGAGACCAAGCAAAAGCCAATTCAAAGTTGGAGAGCCCTACAGAGGAACTGCTAGGGTAATGGGATGCAGTGCAGCAGGCAGAGGGACAGAAAGGAGCATACCAGAGACTGTGCCTGTGCAACAAAGGAAGGAGCAGGGACAGCACCACTACAGCAGGGAGGGGGCAGAGGAGCAGACTGCAGAGGAGCCAGGGCTCTGCCTTGATCCCATGCCCTTGGGGTACAGAAGGCGCAATTCAGGTTCAGGAAAAGCTTGGGAGTTGCAGGCAGCGAAACTGGGAATCTCTTGAGCCCACGCAGGGGACTCCGCAGCCTCCATCTGGGCTGTCATCCCGCATCAGCTGCCTCAGCAGCTGCTCCTCGCACCGGATTTCCTCACACAATCTGTCAGACTCCACGGGAGCTTCCACCATGGCTGAGCCCAAATGGGCTGTGTGGGAAAGGGGTGAGGAGGGGCAGGACCCCTCAGCATAAGCTCCTCTGCAGTGGGTCCTGGCGATGACACAGCAGCTAGACCCAATGCTGCCAGTCCAGCACCAGCAGCTTGCCAGCCTCTGCTCCAGACTGCAGCGCTGTCTTGGCCCATGATCTTCAGCAGGCAGGGAGCAGGACTCCACTCATACTGCAGCCTCACCCTCACCCCCACCACACCATGCCTCCCTCTCCCTGCTCTCCCCGTCCCTTGCCTCCCTCTCCAGGCGGGCCCTGCTGAAAGGAGGTCACGGGTGGATAAGCCTGGATAAAGGATGGGGCAGAGGCACAGCCGCGAGCCCGCTGGCCGGAGGAGGCAGCTGGAGGGGACACCCGCCCGAGGAGAGGTCGGGAGCGGGCAGTGCCGCAGTGCCGAGGTGGGACTCTGCGCCCCGCTGCCGGGAGCGCTCGGGGGCTGCGCCCGGGAAGGCGGGCGGCTGTGGTGCCCTGCCCCGGCCGGGGCACACTCACCTCGGCGGGGAGAGGAGCGGAGCGGAGCGGGCGCGGGCAGGCGGCGGTGTGAGGCGGCGGGAGACGCCCGGATGGGTCGGGCCAGAGGCAGCGGCAGCACGTGAGCGGCGCGGCGCTGAGTCAGGCTGCGGCCGGGCCTCACGTAGGGGAGGGGGAGGGCGTGGGGGGAGGATGCGCGGTGCGGCGCGGCGGGACTGGACACGCGGGCGTGCTCGGGCCGACGCACTTTATTGGCGGGCGCGGGTCGCAGGGCTCCTCGGCTCAGTCGGGCTCCCCGGGGCCGGACTCCTCCGTGTCCTGGCGGGCAGACGGGCAGATGGTCAGAGGGGTGCCCGCCCCAGCCCCCTTGTCTCCTCGAGGTTTGCGCCCGGGGCAGGCGGTGACACCCGGCTGATGCCAAGGGCTCCATGATGCGTGACCGCGGTGCGGCCTCAGCTACTGGTTTGGGCCGGTCCAGCCGGTGGGGCCAGATGCGATGGACGCCCCTGGCCTAACCTCTTTGGACTTAATCACAAGCAGGCCCCTCATGCTAGTACATGGCACCATGCCCCAAAGCACCAAGGGCACCCTAGCCTGCCACAGGTAAAGCAGGGGGGCACAGGCACTGCCAGCACCGTGCTGCAGGGACGGGAAATAACTGGTAAACAGACTCAGGAGCTCCAAGGAAGGCGGCATCCCGTGCTCTCCCTTGAGCTCTGTTTTGGGCTCAGTTCCCCTAATCTCACACGAGTGGCCCCCAAGCTCGCCAGCTCCTCTCCTTCCCCAGATGCTCATTCTTGCCCTGCACTGCTCCCACCTGCTCCTGTTCCTGCTCCTGCTCTTGCTCTTGCTCCTGACGATGCTGCCGGAGCTCCTCCGCCTCCATCCGCTCTTCTTGCTCGTAGAACTCCTTGTCGAGGCGCTCCAGGCGTGAGAGCAGGACCAGGATTTCCAGCCGGTAATCGCCCTCGTCTGCGCAAGGGTTGTCCAACAGCACCAGTGCCCGCAGCATAGGTAGGACCTGCAGCTTGGCCACTTCCTGCAGCCCAGTGATCCCATTCCCCCTGCAGCAGGGAGAGAGCAGGGCTGGTTATGGAGAGCTCCAGTAAGAGTGGGACTGTTCCAGTGGGGGGACACTTGGCTGAAACCAGCAGCTGAGGTCACTTCACTATCACCACCTTGGGCCCCTTGGATCAGTTATCTCCCCTGGACAGCGGACATCAAGAGGGTATTTGCATTCCTCAACAGTGTGCTGAAGGGGTGAGAAAAGAAGAACTAAAAGGGATTTCAGCAAGCAATGCAAGGTACCAGCACAAGGTACAGAACTAGGAACAGGTCTCCCTCACGGAACAAAATAGCAAAAAGTGTCCCAAAGGGCTGCTGAGGGAACCAGAGTTCTAGGACTCAGAGAGGCTGCAAGGTCTGGAGCCTCTCTGAGACTAGCAGAGGCTGTATCAACCAGAGCATCCTCACATGCTACAGGGGGATGGTATGGATCCAAGGCAGTCAGCTGGGCACGTTTTGGGGAGAATAGACTGAAATGTGCACCCCAGCATCCCCAAAAGGCCTGTGGGGCCAAAGCTGACTTGGGGAAAACCAACCTCAGATTGAGGTACTGCAGACACTTCATGTTGCTAGAAAAGCCATCCAGGGTGCCCAGCTGGTTGTCACGCAGATGCAGGGTTGTGAGCTGCACCAGGTCTTGTAAGCCTTCTAGGCAGCTAATGGAGTTCTGGGCCTGAGCACCAGGGAGGGGAGAGGTTGGGATGGGGAAAGAGAGGAAAAGTAGAGACGGAGGAAAAAAATATCAATAATGATATATTCTAAAGTTTCTGTCATATTCTTTCTACTCACCTCCCTTGAGCCATTCTGCTACGTGGCAACCTTCCCTAGGATTGGCCATGGCAACTATTTAACAACAGTTGCCAGGTTAGCCTGAAGTCAGGCAGAAGGTAGCGTACATTTGCACTTTATAGACTAACTAAATCAGAAATGCATGAGCTTTCATAAGCAGGAGCTTCCTTCAAGAGATGCTAAAGAAGGGATTGTTTAACAGCCCAACAGCAATGCTACACAATGATTTAGGACAAGGTATTTAGAGGAATCCCATCTTCAGTTGAAATTTCAGGAAAAAAATTAGGGAAGGAAGAGTAGAATAAGATGAGAACTTGACCAACATCCTGGGATTTATACCTTAACTCATAGGACAGGGCATTTTTGATGCCGTGAAGAAGTCAATAACCAAATGTTTTACATCTCTAGTTACATCTCCCGGAGCTCATGCTGGAGCTCTAAGACAAATCCTCATTCCAAAGGGAGAACATCTCCTGCTGAGTAACCCATAGCAATTCTTGCAGTACTAGAGCTAAGATGGGGCATTTTTTCTGACAGAGTGAACACAGTGTGCCCTAGTGAGTCATTGTACCACAGCCAGCACAGCATCCCCCGCCATGGTTGTATTTAAATTATAACCCTTAAGATTCTCATTGTGGCCCTAGAGTTGAACAGTGTCAAGAAAAAAACAAATATCTGGATATGAGCTGGAAGTTTGTAGAATAGGGAACTCTAGCTCAGATCAGCCCAGTTGTCCTGGTCCAATATCCTATCCTTGACTTCGGCCAATAACAACTGATATGTCTACATCGCAATAACAACTGCTTCAGAGGAGCAAGAAACCCTGTGGGAGGTAGACATGGGATAATCATTTCTAGGGAAGTTTCTTGCTAATGCCTAATAGTTAGAGATTGGCCTAATCCCTGAAGCAGGAGGTTGACAGTTTACATTTTATAGTATTTAACGGTGTAGCTCAGGATATTCTAGTTATCCATGTAAATGTTCTTTGAATATTGCTAAGTCCTCAACTCCAATAACTTCTAGTTGCAACAACTTCTAGTTGCATGCAATATGAAAAGTGCTTTTGCTTTCTTTTAACATTTTCAAATTAACCATCTTTCAACTTGATTGGCCATGCCCTTCTTTTTGGCGTTTGAGACAGAAAAAACAAAAGTTTGGTTTATAATATCTATATGAATAATGCATTATTAACAATTATTGGTAGGTCTGGGAGCATAGTCTGTAATTAAGTTGCTTGACATGTCCCAACGCTTTCCAGTCTAAGACCACATATTGACTTGTTTATAACTTTGCCAAAGTTTAATGGTTAAGATAGAAATTTTCTACATCAGCTTTCTGTTTCAGGCTCTTTTTGTATTTCAGCCAAAACAGTTCCTGTCACTTCCAAGAAAGTAGTTAGTGAAGAATGCTTTGCTTTTCTTTGTTAAAAAGTTCTAGTGACCTTCCCTTTGAACAGCTTTAGTGCCTCCTTATTTTGCAGCAAAAATAACATGATAGTCAGTTACATGTCTGTTGAAAGCTGAATGAAAACCTTACCAAAGTTTGTCAAGTCAGAAGTCTTTGAAAAACTGCAGATTTTACATATGCCCCATAGAGACTTTCTGGAGCTTTGCAGCTAAATTCCCTGAAAATCCACACTAAGCATGCTCCAGCCCAGAACTGAGTAGTACTTTCCTTGTATTATGCCTGGTAGTTGTGCATGAGGGTTGTTCCCAAAGCTTTCAATAATAGGTTTAAAAAACACATACTTGTCTAGCATGGGCGACTAGTGCCACCTTAGTCGGGCGGGCGGGGGAGCACATGCACCGTTAGTGACCGGGGAGGGGGGTCCCCCATGGCCAATCTCACCAACAGGGGGTGAGATTTGCACCCCTCACATCAACTGAGTCAGCCATACTGCTGGCTCCAGCTTGTGAGGACAGAGGGCCACCAGCACTTGCGCCCACAAGAAGGTGCAGAGTTATTGTGGTGGGTGACTCCCTCCTTAGGGGGGCAAAGGGAGCAATTTGTAGCCCATGAGGTCTGCTGCCTGCCTGGAGCTCATGTCTGTGATGGGACAGAGAGGATCCTCAGATGTGCCCGGCCCTCCAACCACCACCCCATGCTACTCATCCACATGGGCACATGTGATATGGCACAGAGCAGTCTGGGCCAGGTCATGTGGGACTACAGGGCTCTGGGAGCTGGGCTCAGGGCTCTGGTGGCTCAGTTAGTTTTTTCATCGATTCTCCTAGTCGCAAGATATGGGCTGTAGCAGGAAAGGTGCATTGGTGAAGTGAATTGAAGACTCCGGCAATGGTGCCATCACGAGGAGTTTGGCTTCTTGGACCACGGTCCATACTTCAGACAGAGCGCACTGTTAGGAACTGACAGCCTCCACCTCACCTGGAAGGGGAAGAAGCTCTTCTTGGCCAGAATGGCTGACCTTCTTGACAGGGCTTTAAAGTAAGACTGCAGGGGGGCGGACGGTCTATTAACAGTTCTAGCCCAAGTCCTGTTAGCTGCATTACCAATAACTTGAGCAGCCCAAGGGAACCTGCTCTAATGACAGCCCAAGGAAAGGTCCCACCTCACCCCATAGGGAAGCTTGGGACTTCTCATTGGCAGACTCAACTGCCTATACACAAATGCCAGGACCTTTGGAAACAAGCAAAAGGAACTGGCCCTTCTCATACGTGAAAATGACTATGACCTTGTAGGGATAACAGAGACCTGGTGGGACTCTATCTATGATTGGTCTGTTGCTTTGGAGGATTATACCTTATACAGGAGAAACCATCTTGGGAAAAGGGGTGGGGGTGTTGCTCTTTATGTCAAGGATCAGTTCATTTCCCTCCAAATTGAGTTTTTTAACCAGGAAGGTCGTCTTGAGACCCTCTGGGTCAAAATACGGGGAGAACATGGGGAGGGTGACATAGTTGTGGGAGTCTACTGTAGACCTTCCCACCAAGAGGAAAAATTTGATCGGGACTTCAATATGGAACTGGTCAAGGCTGCGTGCTCTTGATGCATGATTTTCATGGGGGACTTCAACTTCCCTGACATCTCTTGGGATGAGTGCATGGCCAAATCAGACAGGTCACACAGTTTTCTTGCTTGCATTGATGACCTCTACCTACTCTATAGGAAGTCTGTGGGCCAACTTGGGGAGAGGCATTGCTCGATCTGGTCGTGGCCAAAGGGGAGGACCTAGTGAGCAACCTCAGGATTGAGAGGAAGCTTGGTGACAATGACCATGATTTGGTCACCTTCTCTGTTCACCAAAGTGCAGGCAAATCCCCCAGTTAAACTGAAATCCTTAACTTTGGGAAGGCTGAGTTTCACAAACTCAGAGATCTGGTAAGTCAGGCAATTAGGGGCCATATCCCCCTAGATAAGTGAGTAAATGAGGAATGGTCATCTCTCAAGAACATAATCCTTGAGGCACAGGGGAAAGCCATTCCATCTAACCTGAAATGTAATCAATGGGCAAGGAAACCCCCTTGGCTGAACAAGGAACAGTTGGACCTCATTAAACTCAAAAGAGAAGCCTACTCCAGTTGGAAAATGGGAAGTATCACTACTCAGCACTCGCCCGTACCTGTAGAGAGCAGTCCAGAAAAGCCAAGGCACAAACCAAACTCAGGCTAGCTTTGGGGATCAAGGACAACAAAAACTCCTTCTTCAGATATGTGGGAAGTCCAAAAAAGAATAATGAATAGCATTGGGCCCCTGCGGGATCAAACAGGGCAGCTGACATCTGCTGCCCAAGAAAAGGCCAATCTCCTAAATCATTTTTTTGCATCACTTTTTCACCCTCCCAAGAGGATCACACTGTCAGAAAGGACATGAACCAGCCTGGGAGTGGGTGGTGGGCCCAAAATTGACATGGATCAGGTAAAGGAACACCTTGAGAACCAGGACATTCACAAGTCCACAGGCCCTGATGGAATGCACCCGAGAGTTTTAAAGGAGCTGGCAGACATCATTGCACCCCTGTTGGCAAAGATATTCGAAAATTTGTGGCGCTTGGGCAAGGTTCCAAAAGACTGGAAAAGGGCCAGCGTGGTCCTCCCTATCTTCAAGAAAGGGAGGAGGGATAACCCAGGGAATTATAGGCCAATCAGTCTGATGTTCATCCCTGGAAAAATCCTAGAGAAAATTGTCAAGGGATCCATCAACACCAGACTAACAGAAGGTAAGCTTCTGAAGGCCAGCCAACATGGCTTTGTGACTGGCAGGTCTTGCCTGACCAACCTCATCTTCTATGACCAGGTGACATGAGCCCTGGACAAGGGAGATGATGTGGATGTCATGTATCTGGATTTCAAGAAAGCCTTTGACCTAGTTCCCCACAATGTCCTCATGGCTAAGCTGGGGAACTGTGGCCTTGATCGT